CTCTTCAGAGAGGCTCGAATGGACTCAGGGTTCCTCGGCACGGTGATAGCTGTGACAGAGTGTCGCAACGAGGTGCAATTCATTCCTTTGTCCTGGAACCGCCTTGCAACGAATTCGCCGCCCGCTAATGGTGAGAACGCCGCCCACGTGGTGGCTCAATGGCGGGCTATTCGCTGGGCAAAGACAAAGTGTCGTTGGACCGCACAACCTCAGAATGTGGTTGTGGGCGTGTCTGTCTCGTGGACACCGCCCAAGCCATGAATCCACCCATAAATTCCTCCCTCAATAAACATTCTTTGCGCTAGGCTTCACAAGAATAGATAGGAGAGAATAATCGCCTGGGCCGCTGCACGAATCCTAAAATTATCTAAAGAAATCAAGCAAAAGAGGGAAAAGGGGTAAATGGAGAGGCAGTGGCTTCGCCACATCCTCAATGCTTGCTCCAATTAAATACATGTATATTCGGGAAGCCACTCTCCTGACACGGCGCAGTCTATTCAGATGGATGATGTTTATTCATTACGAAGTGGCAGACTTTGGGATCCTCCAACCACAAGACCCCGCCGAAAGGTAGGAATCAAAAGAGGATTGGTGGGAAAGTAAAAAAAAAAGAAAAAAAGCATTCGTCTTGCCGTTATCGGTTCCTCGACTCCTTCCACCGCGGTGTTGCAGAGAATTCGAAAGATGGGCAATTATCGCAAATAAATATATTCGCCTTTGATGGAGGATATATTAATTTGGGCAACCAACATTCCTCGCGTTCATCCTCTTCACAAGCTCCCAGAAGAAGACATTATTATTGGGTGTTCCTCTAGACACACCTCCGTTCACACCATTCCTCTCGCAACCATTAAAAAAAAAAAAAAAAAAAAAACGGAAAATGACAAAAAAATTCAAAATAAAAAAAAAAAAAAAATACGCTCCAACAATACAAATGGCTTCTTTTCTATAAATGCTGCTCCACACACGCACTGCTTCTTTTGCGTTCTTGACGCACGATCCGGTTCAATTTGGAAAAATACTAATTCGACCTAAAGTAAATAGCAGAGAAAAAGTAGAGGCCACTCAGGGCCGCACATATATATATATATTACTATCAAAGCATCTCTTTTCAATTGAGGATAAATGTGCCCGTAAGGAATTAAAAATGATTAAACAAGACAAATTAACAGCACTGACCAAAAACTGGCAAATTTACAATTGAACGGTTACAAAACGCGTTTTTTTACAAAATCATTAACACATTGAAATAAAAATAAGAACCAGCATAATCAATGGAATCGGGGGAAAAGCTGACAGCAAACTGCTCACGTCTCCACTTTCATTAATTGTATCGAAGACAATACATACATCGTCGTACTTTGGACACAAAATCCTCCCTTGCATGAACAGCCCAGCTGGTGTAATACTGCTGCCCTCCGGGCATTTGTGCCACGCATCGTCTCCAAGGTACCGCACTCTCACCTCGCCCTTGTCACACGACACCTCAGCGCACACGTCACCAACAAGACCCTCGGAATCGGCAAGTCCATCCCCTTTCAAGCACTTGGATCTCGGACCAACGCGGCTCCCACGCATAGCGGTTGCGTTCCCATCACTGCACCCAGTGTTGACATACGTTTCAATGTAAGGGCAGAAGTCCATTAAAAAACCGGGCACACCGCCAAGTTTGGGATTCGAAAAGTACTGAAATTGTGGGGGAAGGGGAGCGCCGTAGAGTTCCATTGCACAGTGCCCCAGCGCCAGGCGATCCGACGTGCATGAAAGGAGACTACTATTAACGGTGCAAAACATCTCTGGATACTTGGTGACGCCATTCACCACGCATTTCTCCGTCAGCAGCGCGCAGCCGGAGTTGTTGCCCCATGACATCGGTTCCTCCTTTCCCCAATTTGCCTTGTAAAAACCGGTGTCCTCCAAAGCAGCCATTGTCAACGCCGTGTAGTATCCGATTCCTTCTTTCCCAGCCATCAGCTCGTCCTTTGCGTTGCGTCTCTTCCAATGCGACAATGCTGCTGTGGGCCCACCCTCATCCTCCAGCTCCATGCCGGTAGCACTCATGCAGTTGAAGTGCTCACGAGTCTTCTCCACCGTCTTGGGTGACGACACCTGAAACACCCTTGCCTTGCCACGCACACCCTTAACCTCTTTCACCATTTTGCGTTCCTTAATTATCCCAAAAGTAAACCCAAGAGCATGTCCAATCTCATGCGCTAAAGTACGAACACCGTACTCCGAATCAGTCACAAAGCTCGGGCCATAATTCATCACACCAACAACAGGACGTCCATCGGGTAATTGAGAGCAAAAATTAGCCCATGCAAGAGTGGAAACCGTTATAGGGGCAGCGGAGACATACAAGTACATGTCCGCACCGCTCACACCCTCTGTGTGGTGGGAGCTGGGTATTGTAAACTGAGCGCATATACCGAAATAAAAAGTCGGCACAATAACCCTGCCCGTGAGAGGTTCAACAAGGAGACGATCCGTATGCATTTTAAGTGCTCGGGGAATAAGGGATTTCAATATGATGGACTTTTTTTCCTCAGTTAAAATATCCTTTTCCTTACACTCAACAGTTCCCCCAGTAAAGTCCGGACGAATCTGCCCCTCGGCGGTGCAGTACTTTGAGGGATCGTTCAGATCCTCCGTGAAGACTTGAAAGCGGATGGGCGCCCATTCGGGATCCGAGGCAGTCATCGCCCGCATCATTCCACTTTCCCGAGTTGGCAGCTCTAGCACGACCGCTGTCGTCCGTGGTCCAACCTTTTTTTCAATTTCATCGGAGATGCAGTGATGCTCTGCGACGGCAACAGAGCCAGAGACGCAGCAGAGCAGCAGCACCTGGAATAGCAGAGTGTGACGCATCCTTGGGTGTGTTTTCTCTTTTGGGTCTTTCACAGTGCACTTTAGCTGCTTGTATGCTTGTCAACTGGATTACCTTGACAGAATAAATGAATGGATTAAATAACTGGTGTAGTCTCAATAAAATACGGCATCAGTGAGTTATGGTAACTGCTGAAATACACATTGAATACGATACTACGAAATCATCACGGCTTTTTTTCCAAGATAAATAGGGTTACCTTCGTGAGCGCTCGTCCATTCGCTTCATTGCGGTTGACTGGAAAATTCCCTCCGATCCATTGATGGCACTCCGCCTCTTCCTCCTTTTTTTTGCCGTTCTTTACATTTTCTTCGGGTTTTCCCCTACTCTTACCAAAACTTCTAGCCACACGATGCCACCTGGGTGCCGAAGAGGTGGTCGAGCAGCGACAAGAGTTTCCTGCTATGAAGCAACTGCCATTGAGAGAACTTTTCGGTGCGGGGGTCCTGTTCAATGCCCAGCTGTTGGCGCACAGCCAAGGTGCCTGGACATTCTGGAAGCAGATGGTGCAAGGTCTCCTGCGGGCCAATTGGCGTGCTTGTGGAAGTTGGCTGATCCTGTGGTAGCAGAGATCGCCTCCTGGCACTTCTGTTTAGATGCCGTGTGGCGTCTGGGTTGTGTGCGCAGCGGCTTCTGTGCTGTGCGGTGCTTCTCCGTGTGGGGAAAACCATGTCACAGAAATCGCATTTGAGCTCGGGAAGCGGTGGAGGATGTTCCGGATGAAATGACCGACAGTGACTGACGAGATTCGAGAATCCCGTCAATGTAGAATCGCAGTACGGACATTTCTCCTTCCGACGACGTGTGATGGTCCGTCTCCTTACTGGAGAGACGTCTTCCTCCCTTGCCGACGGGGGAACAGTGTCCGTCCCCGGTGCAGTTGGATCGTTGTTAGAGCGCATATATGCAGACTGTTCTGGTGAGATGTTGCAGAAACGGCATTGGTTCGTGCAATCTCTCACAGCCCAGTATAGTCGGCCCCAGAGCTCAGATTCGCCGCACCTTGCCCTTGCGAGGTGAACCAGTTCTTGACGGTGAAGAACTTCCTGAGTGATCAGGTCCTTGCCGCTAAGATCTGATGGCCTTGTGCCGCAAAGCAAGTAGCGATGAGTGTCTTGACGAATCGTACTACGCCACTTATTGGTGAGCTGGGTAGTAAAACATGTCAGCAGATCCGTATGCCATAAAGGTGCAATTCCGTGCTCCGTGTATTGTCCAGTCTCCATAGTCTGCGTCGCATACTGATCTGCAAGCTCGTTAGCATGTACTCCACAATGTCCGTAACAAAACTGCAGATGCACGGACCAGCCAGCACACGTCAATGTCAAGAGACGCTGCCAGATCTGATCCTCCGTCCAGTAGGTTTGACTGAGCGGGCCCTTGTTTAAAGCCGCTAGAAGGGACTGGCTGTCTGTAACCACAAGCAGGGTTTTATGCCTGTGTTAGATACGAGGGATAATCAGCCTTTCCAGGGCCAGAAGCAGCGCACAGCACACTCTCTCCAAGCAGCTCATATCATGCGGCATCACCGCACGGCAACCCCATCGTGATGGGCAGCCCTGAAGCGGGGATGCGAAGAGTAATGCGGACGAACCTCCTTTGACCGTCGTTCTCTCGAGGTGCTCGACAACAGGCGTGCCGGCGGTGCAATGATCATGACCGTTTCTTCCGCACCGCACCACCTGCCATCCCATTGCGTTAAGGTCGCCGTGTTCGCCGTTGCTCTCTCCACCGCCCCATGACCACGCCGGTCCTTTCAACACGGCGGATCGGAGCGTCGCCAAAAGCTGCCCCAAAAGCCAACACACCGGACCCATGGTGCGTTCCGTGACCATCTAATTTCTACACCAGTGCATATGAATACTTAAAACACAAGAAGAAAAAAAAAATCGCAGTGAGGATAAATTGACCCCTTTCTACCCTTTGTCCTCCGCATTCCCTTCTCTCCCTCTCCTTTTTTTTATTTTCATTTTTACAGCGTCACCCCTTCTTTCCACCTCCCCTATTTTTAAGGCAAAGGCGCCACGAGGTATCGAGAGCTTGAAGAGAGGTCAGCCTTTATTATTAATTTTGGTTTGACAACCTTCATTTTTATACTTGCTGTTGAAGCCGCTTACTGCATGGCCAGTTTTTTGCCTACTTTAGACCTCTTGTTTCCCGTGTCGCCTCCAGTAAACATGTACCGCATTCTTTCATATTCTAAAATGTCTTTAGAGGTCAAAGAGGGCCGAGTTACGGCCAGCGCTTGCTTCATATCCTCCATCTCCATTTGAGTAAAAAGGTTCAGATCCTGTCCCTTTTTTACGGTCCCAAATAGTGGCTTCAATGTGTCCTCAATCTTCTCCAGGGTTGTGTCTCTGCCTACATTTGCCACAGCAAAACTCCGCTCGAAATCCATCTCCGCGACGTCCAATGAAAGCCGTTCAATCACACGCCGAGTCACAAAAATATGTGCGGACGAAACCAGTCCAGATAAGTCTGCAGGCGTCCAATTAACAGTTTCTCTCGCAATATCCTCAACCTCCTGCCGTGAGAGGTTCGCAGAGATTTTATCAAGGCAGAACAACAATATTTCCAAACGCTCCTCGTAGGACGGAATGGGGCATTCCACAGCCTTGTCCAGTCTACCTGGTCGAAGCAGGGCGGCGTCTATTAAATCAGGGCGACTAGATGCGGCCACAACATAAACATCTTTTCGCTCATCCACCCCATCCAAGTAGCACAACAACTGATTCACTACGCGATCTGTCACGCCGGAGTTATCCACACCACGTTGTGGAGCAACCGAGTCAAACTCGTCAAAAAAAACCACGCAAGGTGCAGCTGCCTCAGCGCGTTCAAAAACATCACGAATCTTCTGCTCACTTTGACCAATGTATTTCCCAAATACCTCGGGACCATTGACAACAATGCAATTCAATTCGGCGGCATTTACAAGCGTCTCTACCAAAAACGTCTTTCCGCAACCTGAAGGACCGTAAAGAAGTAATCCACTTCGGGTTTTCAACGGAAGGCGTGCAAATAATTCGGGGTGCTTCATAGGCAACACTAAGGTGTCATACAAGATTTTTTTCGCGTTAGAAAGGCCTCCAATGGAATCTAAAGATTGTTTTTCACCCCGAAGAAAGTGGATTCCGGTATGAGACAACGGAGTAAAGCGAGCAATGACTTCCTTTGCCTTCTCCAAAGAGGAAAAATCCCCATCCGTGGAGCAGCTTTTGATACGCACGGAAACCTTCTTGATATCAAATGGGGTGTAGTTCTCCGTAAGGGCCGCCAGTTGTTCCAACGTGTCCGCAGACTCCTTTGGGAACATCTGCTGGAGCAACGCCAGGCGTGCCTTTCGGTCCAGCGCTTCGACCTTCGTGATTTTGGAAAAACAATTCGCTGACCGAAGACGCTCGTAAACATCTTCACGGTTCCCGCAAGTTGCGAGAACAACGACAGAGCCGCGACCCGCAAAAGTAAATGCGTCGGAGAAGCAATGCAGCATTTCCTCCAAGGTCGATTTTGTCTTGCCAGTAATCGCCGCCGCAGCCCCTTCACGTTGCACCGGGGCAATGGTATCAAAATCATCCAAAATCAAGACAGAAGGCGCACACAGGATACATTCCGCTAAGGCCTGTTGTAGGGAGACCAACTGTCGACTTCCTCCTCCAGAGCCACATTGAACAACACAGACGTGGACATCACGAAGCCTGCTCAAAACAGCTGCAACAAGAGCTGTTTTGCCACACCCCTTTCCACCACAAAGCAGAACATTACCATTGCCTCCATTTACCTCACCAAGGGAGGTATTCAACTCCGTTTCCCGAGAGAACCAGCCAGAGAGGTGACGAAGGAGCTCTTGAGATAACTCTCCGTGAACAGCTGCAACTCTATCAAAGCCTGCCTCTTTACAAGAAGAGAAAATAAAATGATCTTCCGCGAAATCTTTATCGGTCACAGTAGGCAAATTCTCTTCGGGATTGGGGAACACGACCACATTGGAGGTCTGCCCAAAAACAGTACAGCAACACACTCCTTCAGGCATCTCTTTAATGTATTTAATGGGGGCTCTCCACGCGTTTGTCCGAAGAAAAGACGGCGTCACCTCCTTAGACTCAAGAAGTTGTGACATACATGCGAGATCCCAAAAACCCACTACAAGACCGTCACACCAATGGTTTCGTTCTGCGGTTGCGGGATTCAAAAAAAGCGACACCTTTGTCTCTGTAAGAGATGTTATTGTGGTCTCGTAGGTACCGTATGGGTGGCAGCGCAGAATAGCCCACATGGGTTTTGTTCCTTTTTCGGCCACTTGCCTCGATCTTGTCGCAATGACAAATTCGGTTCCTTCGGACATAACAGCACATCCGGACGATAATTCACGACCCTGAGAGTCTTCGATTCGCTGGACCACCACCCTTGCATGAACGTCAGAAAAAACAACGACACTGATAGTCATTCCGGGGAATATGACTTGAACCTGACGAAGTAGTTGTGTCTCAATGCGAAGCGCATTCTGTTCCGCAACTTCGCTCTCATCCACGGAGGCAGGCGATACAAGCACTCGAGAGGCCTTTATTGGGTGATACACAGGGACACAGTACACAATCGCACCATTTTCCAATTCCAGGTCCCTGCCCAAAATAACGGACATGAGCAGCTTGCATGGTTCAAGATTGTGGGTTTTACGTGTCAGACATCCAACATAGAGGTTTCTTTTTCCGTCCGAAAGCCTTAGCGGTACCACCGGCGGCGTTTTGCTGCCGTAAAAGGGACTAAGACAATCGTTAAGGAATTTGGCCGATACAGTGACAAATGCATCGGTGCGGGAAGGGTCAATAAAAATTTCAAATGAACTTTGCTGCATGTTATTTCTTTATAGAAGGTCAACCATCTGTATATATACATACGTAGGGAGAGAAGAAGCGCAAAAAGGAGGAAGAGGGACAAAAGAAAGAAGGCGAAACAAAAAAAAAAAAAACAAATATTTTATGCACAGATCATTGCCATCACGACAAACAGGCAAGAATAAACTCTACTCACACAGAAAAGGGTAAAAACAACAACAACAACAACAACAAAACAAACAATCATCACTATTTCCATATTTTCATTTAATGAAAATTATAGAAAAATAGACGCAAAAAATAAAGGCCTGCCGTGGTAATGAATCAATTTGGCACATAACCCCACCTCAGTTTCCAATACTCGGCATCTTCGGTTGAAACCACACGACGTGGACTATACATTAGGGTGACGGACTCCCCAGCTGATATGGCACGCCGTGTTAAGAGATGCGCGCAAAACTGATCGGTATCATGCCATCTTAGGCCAACCCCTTTGCCCTGAGCACTGTTAGCTGACGTGAAACAAACCGCAGAATTGGGCTCAAAACTATGAAGGCAGAAATCTATGATGGGGTATAACGTCAGACCGCCGTAATCATCAGAAAGGGCTCGGGACAGGACCATTGACAATCCCCATGGCACGGATTTGGATGCAAAGTGTGGCAAGCTTTGCTCCATGCGCCGCAATAGAGAGTGTAGCCGTACCCACTCAACACGCTGTGAGGCAGAAACAAAAACCTCTTTCGATAGACACGGGCCGTTTGAAACTCCTTGTGCCTGCATGGAGTTCCCCATGTACATGGTTTCTAGTTCCCTGTGTAACAGAGTACGACCTGTGAACATATCGATGGTGTCCACATTGTAGAGATCATGCAAAAACTCAAGATATCGGCGGTGAAAGCCTCGGGGATTGTGCAGTTCACGCACCACAACCCCAGTAAGCGTTTCCAAGGGATCCCAACGATGGACAAAACGTTTCCCCTCACTGGGCGGTGCGGCAGATAACGAGAGCGCAAGAGGTAATGAAACCAAAGTCCTCCCAGCAGGAATACGTCGCGTGGCAACCAATTGACATCCCCGCCCAGAATGAAGTTGCAGCTTTAGCGCGCAATGAACCGCCACACCATTCCTGGCAGCCCATCGAAGAAAAGAACGTGCGGCAGGCACCCTTCGTGAAAGGAGGTACGGCCATACCTCTTTATAAGTCTTCCTATTGGCACAGAAAAAACGCCGTGGCGGGCCATCACTACACAAAAACTCCATTTCCCTCCCCTTCGCACGCCTGTCCTCACGCACATGCACGTACGGCGAGCCGAAAGGAATGACGCCTCCCCCCCTCACCACAAAAAAAAAAAAAAAAAAAAAAAAGAAAAGAAAAACCACCTACAACAAAAAGATTCATTCTGTAAGGCAAGTTCTACCAATACACACAAATATTAATAGGGATTGGCAAAGGTCACCATCAAGGACAGACCCCCATTTTTTTTTTTTTTTTTTTTTTCTCTTAAGCACCAAAACATGTAAATAATAAATTTACTTTTGGAGGTTTATCTCCCATATCATTGCTAGGGGAAAGTTGTACACCTATTTATGCTTAGCCCACAAATAGATATCATAACCACCCCTCCTTTTTCCTTTTCTTATCTTTCATCCATTCAGTCACCTCTATTCAAACACAACACACAATTTCAAACTCTTCTTTTATTAAGGTTCATCTATTGATAGACGTACTCATCGGCGTGCTCATGGAGAAGCTGCGCTGAAGCCTTGGCATCTTTAAACAGCCCATCAACCAACATAATATCTTCTGCTTCAATTACGCTGCGACCATTTGTTTCCGCAATAATAAGCGCTGGTGTGAGTAGCTGTACCACATAGCGCAGTGAAGTACGTTCTCCAATTTGTCCGAGGAGCTCTAAAGAGGCATCTGACACCTTTACACCCTCCACTTGGGACCGAATGTCAACAATAGAAACAATTTCTTCAATGCTGTAATTAGTCGTACGTACAATAAGTAAACGATCAAGAAGATCCGTGGGAATGCCATGGGGAGATCGAATGTCCGTTCCCCTGATGCGACAGCTGCCTCTGTTGGTAGCAAAAATTACAACAGGAGCCAGTGTTGATTCCAGTGCCTTGTTCAGGAATGTAAAGCATTCAATGTCCAACATGTGTACTTCATCGATAAACAACACACCTGGAACCAATTCAGCTACACCCTGATCAATGTACTTATTCACAACTTTGTTAATCTCATGCCGTAGTTTCTCGGTAATCTCCGTTTTCTTCTGCTTCATTAGGCTGTTAACAATAGAAAGGGCATCTTGACCTTGGTTTGGTTTTGCATTGGCAGAGTCAAGATCGTGAAGTGTCACATCCTGAATAATCTCCTTCTTCTTGTGAACATCGCCCTTTGGTAGTGGGACGTACTCATCAGCCTCCAGGTCATGATCTCCAATATAAGCATCCGAACGTCCCACTCGCTTTACAGCCCCTGTACTGGCTTCAATGTAAATGACATCACCAACAGAGACCTTTTCCTTCTCTAAGCTTTCATAGATAGCAGCATCTAACTTGAGTTGCTTGGAGCCCTTGACAGACTTGAGTGTCACAATAACATGAGCAATGGATTTGCCATAGCCTCCCAACGGATTATCTGTCTCCTCTGCACGCAATTCTGTGACTTCACCCTCATAAACCTCTTTTTGTTCCTTAATTCGAAGCCCAATTGCTCGACGGAAGTTTTCCATCAGCACCTCTGTCTTCTTTACTTCGGCACTGTAGACTTCGCTGCCAACCATTGGGCAAAAAGGCACCTTTGGTCCCAACTCTTTCGCGATACCGAGTGCCAATGCTGTCTTGCCTGTCCCAGGAGGGCCGGCAAAAAGAAGTGCACGCCCAGCCATTTTTTTGGATCTTGTGAGCTCCACAACGATACCGGCTGCTTCACGGGCCTTCACTTGTCCCACAAATCCATCAGCGGACGGTTTGGCTGAACCCTCTGCATCCAGCCCCAAACCCTTCACATGACTGTGAGCTGCCACACGCTGCCTCTTGGTGGTAGAAATGACCTCCTCAATCTTTATTCCTGGCATCTTCTCTACTCAATCCCCAGCAGTTCTTTTTTTCCCGTTTTCCCTTTTCTTTGTTGCTAGTAAAAGACCCGGATTAAAAAAAAAAAAAAAAAAAAAAAGGCACAAACAAACAAGAAAATAAATGCAGCATACACTTACATTTGTATGACTCTTTTTTTTTCTTCTCCTCAGTTGGTAATAGAGCCTCTCCACAGATTTATCGACTTGATCAAAAGAAAAAAAAAAAAAAATAAGAAAAGCTACACGAGACAGCTTAATACTTTTTATGCATTTTTTCCCGTCCCCCCGGTGACCCGCTTCAACTCTTGAAGAGTAGCACGAAGTTCCACTGCCGCAGGGTGTTTCTCAGAGACCATACCCTCAATAATTCTACGCGCCTCTTCTGCCAAAGTCTTGGCCTCTTCCACTTTTCCAATGCGCAGGTACCCCCACGCACATTTGTTAGAGGCAGTACCAATGACGATATGATTCCCTCGGTAGCGTTGTCGTGCAATATCGAGAGCCTCTCGATAAGAGGCAAATTGGTTGTTCCGGTCATCCAAGTTGCCATAAGCATCACCCAGTGCTGTATAGGTAGAAACAAGTTGTGTGTGTTGGCTGCCAAATGCCCGCTTTTGTAACTCAATAGCTTTCTCTAGAAGATCTTTTTGATGAAAATAATCCCTGTTCGCTCCATGGGCATCTGCCAATTCCAAAAGCGTCAAAGCTATTTGTGGGTTCAACGCGCCAAGCTTCCTTTCTTGGATGTCGTATGCCTGCTGGGCAATTTGTAGACGTTTAGCATGGTTGCCATTTGCACCATGCGCTCTGGAAAAAGTCAGCAACGCAATCGTTGTCTGTATGTGCTCTGGTCCACAATGGCGGCGCACAATCTCCAAGGCTCTCTCTGCTACTTGAAGCTGGGCTCCATGTTTTCCCAAATGGCCATGTGCTTCAGCAAGAAGCAACAAGACACGCCCCACTTTGGCATGTTTCGAATGAAATTTTCGCTCATGAATGTCAAGTGATTTGAGAAGGAGATCTTCCATCTCTTGGTACCGACCCATCTCCTCGTAAGCAGAGGCAATATTGTATAGAACCATGCCGTACTGTGGATGGTCCCTCCCATAGACCTGCTCCACCATATCCCGCGAGCGTTCAAGCAACTGGAGTTTTCTGGCATAGTTCCCAATTTCTCCATAGGCACAGGCCAAGTTGTTCAAACAGCTCATCAGAACGTACTGCCGATTATTATTATTATTATCAGCTTTGTCCATGGATTCAATCACGGATTCCCACTGTTTGATCGCATTCATGAATTCACCCCTTTCAAAAAACTCGGCTGCGGACTTCTGAAGCTCCTCTACTGTGCATCCAGTGGAGAACGGCGGCTGCGTGCTGCACACACGAACCGCAAAAGCGGCAGAAGTCACGGCAAAACGATTCATCATGCCCCCTACCAGGCGGTCCAAGGTGGCCGCATTTAACATGTAGGAATGAAATGGCACAATTCTTTTCATTGCTGTATAACCCTTTTTTGTGTCTTCCAGCCTGTACCTTGTCAAAAAAAGGATACCGAGAGCAAACCCCTGGTGAATACTGCAATGTGTTCTGTTGGACGTACAGGAATTAACCTGCCATCGTTTCACAGGCATCTTTTTTTTTTCCTTCAGTTCATTTTCTTGGGGAGTTCCCTCCCCTTTTTGTCTTGTTTTATTTCACATCTCACAGGTGTTGCTGCGCGCACGCAGGGGGCGAAAGCGGTAATACGCACATCACTGGGCGAACTCACATTGCCAGTAGTACTCCTTGTTTGCCCGTACCCTTCTCCTCCCGTACGTTTAACTTCCGGGGCACTCCGCGGGAAGCGTGTAAAATGCTTTTTCCTCTTTTTCATCTTCCTCTTCTTCTTCTTCCTCCATATCAACTGCGTCTCGCCTGTTCCTTTCACATGCCATCTGCAGACGACGCAGCAACGATCCCACGCTTTGAGCGTCCCCCACATAGCAGTCGACAATGCTGCGTTTCCGCAGGACGAGCCTGAGCAGCGCTTGCACACCAAACGAACCAAACGGGTTCATTGAAACGTCAATGGTTCTGATACACGGGAGATTACGCAGCGACTCACAGAGTAATTCTACGAGGGTGGTAGTGAGACGCTCCTCACGCAGATTAATGTGTTCGAGCCATGGGCAGAAGGGTAATGTAAGGAGAATGGGCAAAATGGCCCGTTGGCTCAGGTAGGCGCGGTGCAGATCTAGACGAGTGCCACATGTACCCTTACTAAAGTGCAGGAACGTGTGGTTTGGACGCTCCCCACTGGCCTTACACAAATACATATACCTTTGAGTCGGGTTGGTTTTTACATCATCCTCTGCACTGGCCAATGCCATGCAAAGAAAATCACAGCGTCTACTGATCTCCACAATGTCATCGTTGGGCGTCACCGGCATAACACCAAAGTCCCAATACCTAAAATGGAGGTGTGAAACCTAAATACACTACATGCCATCAAAAAAAAAAAAAAAAAAAAAAAAAAAGGAAAACAACAGCAACAACAAAAGCCATTGTAAATAATTAAAAAAAGACATAAGAATATAAGTCGCCACACTACGCCACACGCACGTACACACCACCTACAAGAAAAAAAAAAAAAAAAAACAATAACAACAAATCAACACCAAAAGTAAAATAAGTACATACACACAAACAGAAAATTCCTAAAAATGAAGATAGCATGTGGACAAAAAAGAAGTGACCCTATCTTCTCATCTATTTTTTTTTTTCCTTTTTTTATTGTTGTTCCCTGTTTTTTTGTTTTGTTTTCTTTTTACTCCCCTTCATTTTTTCCATCTTTCGCATAATGTCAAAGTATAAATCAAAACATTTCCCTTTTTTTCTTCCTTTTCTCCATCCCCATATCCCTTCCCCCGCCCCACCCGTTTTTTGTTTTTTGTTTTTATTATTTAGTCTTCACTTATGCATCCCCCCGTGGTTACAGTAGGATGAAAACAAAAGACGTCATGGGGCCATTGGAATTTAAAACATGAGACTCTAGTCCACAATGACCCGCACAATGGCGAGAGGTTGCTCTCAACGGTTCAACAGATTCGCAATAACCTTCTCGTCGACATGCGCCACCTCCAAAGCCGTCACTTCTCCAGGCGCGGGAAGAACTTCGCCGTGAGTGACGGGGCAGGAGATGAGACTTGAAATGGAGGTACCGGATCGGCGCTCGAGTGTCTCTGCATAGAAGACAAAAATATTCTCCCGCCCATACCATTCCTCAAGGATCTGATAGTTGCGGTGATGGAGGGAGTTAAGAGCTTCATTGGAGATGCAAAGCACATGACGCTCTTCTTCTTCGCTCGACAGTGCAATTTCGCATGCGTTGCCGGCAAATGCGCGAATTTCTTCCGCGCTCAGGTTAATGATCTTTTTATACGTTGCCTCCAGGTGCTCAAAGAATGCTTGTTTTTTCTCCTCGGAGGAAAAACGCAAAAAGTTAAGTCCCCATGCACAGATACCCTTTCCGCACCAACCAATCAGGTTGGTATGATGTACAACGTCTTCACCGACGCAGCGTTTATTTTCACCACTGAAACGTGGGAGTACAGCAGTGAAGACAAAGCGCTTCTCTTTTGGAATGTTTAAATTTTCGGGGCTGCAAACAACATCAAGAAGCTTCTCGCTGCTTCGATCGGAGAGCGCCATGTAGACAAACTCGCCGTTGTAGGAGAAGTTCATTGCGCCCATCCCCTCCAAGCACAGATCATGACTTTCAAAGTCACGCAGGTCCACGAGTTCCAACCCTGACGGTTCCTCTGACTTTACCGTCTTATCCAACTTTTTCAACAG